CTTTTTGACCCTTTAATTTATTTTAATACGCAAGTTATATATTTATACATTTATTTCCAATAATGATAGGTTCTGTCCTCCATACCAAACAGGTTTTAGTTCTAAAAAGGTTTTTAGATGTTTGGAAAGAGAAAATTCACTTGTTCAAGTTGAACTTTTGAAATGAAGGAAACATTTCTAAATGAATCAGTTGTGAAGGATCAGTGAATGATTTTATTTGGACAAACATAGAAAACCTCCAACAGCTGCAGTGAACTGACCTCAGAACCTCCAGTCTACAGTTTGGACTCTCCAGGAAACCACACAGATCCTTCACTCCAGAGTTATACAGGTTGTTGTAGCTTAGGTCCAGTTCAGTCAGATGGGAGGGGTTGGATTTCAGAGCTGAGACCAGAGAACAGCTGATCTCTGACAAACTGCACTCCACCAACCTGAATAAAGAATAAATTCTGTGAGCTGAAGGTTCAAACTGAAATCTGAATTAAATGATTGAAGTGGACAGAATTAGTTTTACTGGATGTCAGAGACACAAAAACACAATCAATTCAAGGCCTAGCATTCCTTGAAGGAATGCATATCACCCACCACCTTTCATCCCACAGTTTGACACTAAGATCATCTTCTGATGAGAAAGTTGGAGCATTTTGGTCAAACCTTGGAAATCTGCTTCTGAAGTATCTCAGCTGATATTCTGAGCTGAAATTAAGATTTAAATGAGAAATCCTTTAATGATCTGATTTTTTTCTTATAATGAAAGAATTAATTAACTGTTAAACTGAAGCATTTAATGAGAAAAAACTCATCATTTTTACACAAATTAGTTCAAAATTTAAATCCTGTTTTTGTCAAACCTGTTTTGACTGAAGTCAAACTTTCTTTGTATGAAATGTTTCCTGCAGAGCAGCTCAGTTTGTTTCCATCAAAAATAAAAGAAGTTAAAAACACATGAAACAGCACGTGCACTAACAGAATTCATTAAACAACACAGAGAAAAACTGGACCTGACCTCAGGGGGTCAGAAACACAGACCATGTCTGATAAGAACCAGGATTTTAGGTTCTGACCCATGTAGGGGTCACCTCGAGTGAAGAAACAGGAGTTACTGCCTCAAAGCAGGTCTCGGACAGGCCTGAAAGAAGGCAGGAACACTGAACTCTATTTTAGGCCATGATGGGTTATTTCAACCTACAGGAGGACTTCAGTTCTCTAATCAGATATTAAACAGAAACAATCTGTTCTGTTCATGATTCATTGGTTGTTTAACTAAGTATGTTTATGCATCTGTTAATCA